AATGTAAATATCATAGGCTGGTGAGGGTAGCCCTCAATGTGAGAAGACCAAGAGCTAGATTATTTATTTATTCAAAATACCTTACACGCCGATAGGAGGTCAGTAACTGAAGGACAAATAAAAAATACAAGGAAAAAACAGTAAAACAAAGACTACAAATGGCAAGGGGCAACAATGTTACACAAAACTAACATGTAATGAAATCAGATTATTACTGAAAGTATACTAAAAGTTTTACACTTACAGTTAGATGCAATGCGATTCAAAAGACTGTGATTTGAATATGCAATCGCCTAGGTTGTAATGACGGCTTAAATGCCTGCGTGTAACTATTACTGCACATGAAAGTAAGTGGGCTGTGAATGTGTCAAGACGTGTGCACAGGAGGATAAGGCAGCACTGAAATTCATCACAATACTCTACCAGTGAAAAATATTTATAACAGCAGTGATGTGGCGGGGCCATGTCAACCATAGTTTACTAAAATTAACTAGAGGGGACTCTGGAACTGCGATCATTCAGCGACCCTAGGAATGATGGGTAGTACACAGATTTGCCTACTCTTCGTACTTGCGGGTGGCGAACCCCACTTGTGGCTTCATTTATTGCTGGTCATGGTTTTGTTTCAAAGAAAAGAACAAACTTTTTTGAACTTCATGACCTGATTTGAAATGGTAAGCCTAGAAAAATAAGGTGGTGAAGTGCCATCACTGAATATTTGCTGATTTTTGTTTTGTGAGAAGACAGCTCCAAGCCACATGAATACACACGAATCCAGAAGTATAAAGATTAGACTAATCCGTGTACTACGCATCATTCCTTGCTCGCTGATCTGCCATGCATGGTAGTTCCCATAGACACTATAGCCAGAGTTCCCTTTAGTGTATATTTAGAAAACTCTATGGTGTCATGTCAATGCCATGTTTTGTTGTAGGTGAATCTGCTTGCCCTAGTTGTAATGGCTTCCAACATATGGACTAGATAATCTCGTTATGGTGACCATGTAGATGAAGCATACTCTAAATGTGGGTAAAGATAAGATATGATAATGCATATACATTAGAAGATGCATTGCACAAGTTTCTGTGGGGATAACCTGCAGATTGAGAAGCTTTTGCTGAGATAGCTGCTACACGCCGTAGTATAGGATAAATCTCATGTAAGGTAAGCACAAAGATATTTATTTGTATAAAGGGGCAGCAGAAATAATGGTATTGTTAATCGTACAATGAGTGAGTTCTGCCAAGTTGCACTATACCTGAACATCAGGTTAAGGTAATTTGAGAAATGAAATGATCATAAAAAAAGAAAAAAACTAGCCCATAAATTAATACTGCAATAGGTGATAGACTTGTTGTCATGTAACTAAATCAAGGATGAAAGGTCAGCGGGTAATCCCTAAAGGGACCCTGCAACACTTTTTTCAGCATTGTCAGAAAACATTGCTGATCGGTAGTCGCAGCTCCCAAAAGCACATGAGCCAATTATTAGAGCACAGCATGCAGTCTGAAATTCCCAAATAATTTTCAAAGTCAGCCAGCAATTGCTCTCTCGTCTCTCTACCGGTGATGCCTTATACCTGGATTAGTGTGTCATACCCGATTCCACAGCCATTGACTGATTTGAGCATCATAGGCTATGCAAATACTGTGGCCACTGCAACTGCTGCCATGTGCCAGCGCTTGTGCTCACCCTTAAAGTAGCCATGCGTTCTAAGAAAAAAGGAAAGTGCTCAAGGTCATGACGTGCGCTGATAAAATGGTGCATCCTTTTGCCCCCTTGTGTCCCTACCCAAGTTGCCTTCAGTGCACTCGCTTGTACAAAAAGAGAAACCGCTTGAAGTTTTCTACAAATTCCTGAAACTCCGCTTGTAATCGGCATATTTTAAAAAATTATTTTGGCATGTGATTTATGAGGCATCATGAGCCAACAGTGACATCCATTTCAAAAGTGTTGCAGGGTCCCTTTGATGTATATCAGAAAGAGTAACCGACTTAGAAAACTGCCTTGGGCAACACTGCAGGTGATGTCGAAAACATTAGACGAGATGTAGCTGACCACAAAGAATGAAAATTTTTGTAGCCAAGATGGTGGTAATCAAGGAGTACAAAGGACAGACAATGTAGAAATCAAATGGTGTATAATTTGAGTATCGAACGCACAGCGAAATCAAAGAAGGGGCAATTGGTTCGATCGTTTGTGCCTAGAATAAAGTGAATACTAGTCATGAAACTAAATAACTCAGTCTCACATGAATAACCTTTTCTGAAGCCTTGCCGACTAAGATGAAATTTATTTGTTATAACGACTAAGAAACTGGTCAACTTAGGTAAAATTAGGGCAAGAACTAATTGCCGAGATCGACTAGCGTGAGTCCAGGATAGCCCTTAAAAAATAGTACAATGTACTAGACAACGGACATTATAACGACGTAGAGAGAACGAACGAAATGGAATGGTTTCTGTAGCAGCGATGGTGTACAGAGGTAACAAGCGAACTAAATTCTTCTCAACTAGAAAGAGCTTAATAGAGGCAACACACGAAGTTGACAAAATGAATGCATAAAATAAAATTTGTTGAGCAACAACGTTAGTCAATAAGAAAAAGAGAGCTACATAACCACAATGCAAAAAGGGCAGAAGCAGCAGCAAAAAGAAAAAAATCATGGCAGCATCAAAGCAGCTAGAAAAATGTCAAGGCAGAACCAAAATGCACGCATAAAATATATGCAGGGCAGTGACAGTAAAAGTGGCTGAAGACATACTCCACTTAGCTGCAGACGACCTGACTACAGTAACCTGACTGAGCCGCTGTTTCGCAGGGCGTCTGTATCAATGCTAGAGCCTTTTTGCCGTTAGTCATGGCAGAGCGAGAAAACACAAGTTGTCAATGGCAGTAGCCGCCATAGACATTACGAAACACGGAGGTCTGTAAGACAAGCAACCACGCACTGCGAACGCACCGTTTCAAGGCGCCCATGTTGTTTTTGTGTTGATTTATCTTGACTCGGATTTTGTCTGCGAAGCTTCTGTAAGTGTAAAAAACAAAATTTCTTTTATTTTACGTATACAATTTTGAAATGTTACACAAAATTATGAATAGTAGTAAGTAATAAAATAAAATGTTTTATAATTTTAAAGATTATTGTGAACATTAGAAGGTAAAAGTTTGAAAGTCTGAAAATAAAAGCATAGGCATCATCATCGACATCAACAGCAAAGTGCAGAAAATGATGACAGTATGTAAATACGGCATCTGCGTACACTCGCGGAAGACTCATGTTGCATTTGCACATACAAATTTGCAGTCATTTCCTGATTTATGGTGCAGAAATACGCTTCTGATAACCAGGTAATGTTTAGCATGAGTGTGAAAATAAACAAGTGTTTGTACAAGCTGACTTTGGAGCATGGAGCATCTTGTACTAAAAGGAACGGCCTTTAGGGATTCCTTCAATGCGCACTCCGAGAACGAGAGTATTTCGTCATAAAGTGTGGCGGCCGTTGCTAGGCGCACGTCGCGGCGGCGTCCCTGCGAGAGTGTGACCAATAGCGCGCCGCCGCGGTGGCCATGCGTTGAGCCTACTGCTGATTACAAATGCGCTGCCGGGATGACTGAGTTTGTGTAACTGGTTGAAGACTTTGGCAATGAAAAGAAGGAACGTATGGTCTCACTCGTCCTGTTGATATGTCACAGTAGAGAGCGTCCGTTGACCCAGGGATTGTGACTTTTTGAATTTGAAGGGAAGAGCCATTCTCGAGAAGCTGCTGGAGTTCGGTGTGAATTTTCTAAGCTTCGGCGAGGGCGTCGGTTGTAATGGTTGGTAGCTCGACAGCCGAGATGCGAGAGAATGTGTCAGCGAACACGTTTTTTTTTTTTTCGCGGATGCGGCGGATATCTGTGGTGAATTGAGCGATGATAGACAGCTGGTTCTGCTGGACCGGTGGAAGTTTTTCGTGGCGTTGGGAGAAGGCGTAAGTGATAGGTTTATAGCTGGTGTATATGGTGCAGTGCTGTGCCTCGAGGATCTGGCGAAAGTGTTGGACTGCTTCGTAGAAGGCAAGGAGCTCTCGTAGTAGGCTGGCCAGGTGGTCTCCGCAGGGGGCGAGGTTGCATCACCGATGCTGCCGGAAGGCGGGGGCAGCTTCGGTGAAGAGAGTTTTTTATAGAAGAACGCCAAGGGGCGCCAGTTGTTTCCCACACGCTGCATGAGAGAGGCTCTGACGGCGGTGCTAGTGGCGTCTGTGAAAAGGCCTAGGGGCGCCTCTGGCTTGGAATGGGAGAGCAGCGTAGCGTTGCAGAGGGCAGTTTCGCAGTCTTGGAACGCTTGCGTTAAGGCTGGGGTCCAAGTGACAGGATAGTTGCGGCGTTGGCCGGCCAACGCATCATGTAGAGGGACCTGATATGTGGCCGCTATAGGCACGAAGCGCCTGTAAAAGTTGAACATGCCCAGAAAACGGCGGAGGTCCTTCGCTGTGGCAGGCAGCGCGTAATTTTGCAGGGCCAGGATGCAGTTAGACAAGGGTCGAGCTCCTTCTGAAGAAATTTGACGGCCAAGAAACGTGACGACGGGGGCGCCGAGCGTGCTCTTCTGAACGTTTATCAGTAAGCCATGTTCGTCGAGACGCTGGAACAGATGACGAAGGTGTTGGCGATGTTCCGTTTTGTTTCGGAAGAAGATCAAGATATCGTCTAGGTAGACGAAACAGAAGTCCAGGCCGCGGACGATGTTGTCGATGAAGCGTTGAAAGATTGGACCCGCGTTGCGGAGACCAAAACTCATGAATGGAAATTCGAATAGACCGAAAGGCGTGATAATAGCGGTCTTTCGGACGTCATCCGGGTTTACAGGAATTTGCGTGTAGGCCTTTACGAGGTCCACCACTGAGAAGATAGTGCTGCTGTCTAAAAGGTGTGCAAAGTCCTGTATATGACGGACGGCGTACCTGTCGGGGACGGTGCGGGCGTTGAGGGCGCGATAATCTCCCCAGGGGCGCCAGTCATTGGTCTTCTTTGGTACCAGATGAAGCGGTGAGGCATAAGGTCTCTCCGAGCAGCGGGCAGTACCTTCGCGGAGCACGGCTTCGAATTCGGCCTGTGCGATTCGCAGGCGGTCCGGGTCTAGCCGACGGGCGGGGCATGAGACTGGGGGGCTGGGAGTAAGTAGTACGAATGCAGTGCATGGTTGAGTGGCGCACCTCTCGCGGACGCCCGCTAGGTCGAGTCAGGTCGGTAAACTCTGCGAGGATGTCATGGTATTGCGACTGGTTCCCAATAGTTAGTGCTTTGACGTTAGGCTGTTGGGTGGTCGCACGTTGGCCCAGCGTGAAGAGGCCTGTTGGAGCGTCGATAAGTCTGTCATATCGGCAGTCAGGTAGAAGATTGTAGTACGCCAAGAAGTCGGACCCGATGATCAGCTCTGCGACGTCGGCGATGACAAAATTCCAAGCAAAATCTTGACACAGGTTTTTGATGTTGATGTTAAGGCGTAGCGAGCCGTAGGTCTTGGTGGTCGATTGGTTCGCCGCGCTGAGCTCCAAGGACGTGCAAGGACGCTTGTCACGCAGGAAGGTTCGGGGAAAGCAACAGATGTCGGAGCCACAGTCGATGAGGAACCACCGCTTTGTGACTTGGTCGGGGACGAATATGCGACGACCTCTAAGCTGACAGCTCGCGGCCATCTCTACGGGCTGCCGTTGAAGTATCCTTGACGTCCAGCTAAGCAAGGTGGTTGACATTTCCGGGCTTTGTCCCCGAAGCGGCGATGCTAGTAGCAGGGGCCGTTATCATTTCCGTGCGATGAAGCGGCGTTGTTGTCTTGGCTTTGGGAGCGTTTTTGTGGATGCAGCTTTGGGCTTTGATCCAGGCGCCTTTGAATTGAGTCCAGCTGACGGGTGATTTCGTCGACACGGCGCGCGAGCTGGCTGCTGGACTCTCGGGTGTCAACGGCGTTGACGGTGAGAGGCGATGCTGGCAACGAAATCTCGACGACTTGATCAGCGATGTGAGAGAGCTGGTCCCGCGGTAAATTTGGCTGCTCCTGGAGGATGGCCTGTGCATGTCAGGGTAGACGCTGAAGCCAGATGATACGGAGGGGGGAGTCGTTAACCGGGGTGCTGCCCAAAAGGTCACGCATGTAACGCAGGAGCTGCGATGGCTTGCGGTCACCGAGTTCTTTGTGCATGAGTAGGTGACGCACCTTCTCGTCTTGTGAAGGTTAAAGCCGGCGAATCAGTTCCCTCTTCAGGTGTAGGTAACGGTTATCAACCGCGGGATTCGCAAGTATATCGCAAACCTCGACCGCATAGCGAGAGCCTAGATGGGTGACGACGTAGTCATAGCGCGTCCGGTCCTGGGTGATGCGTGCCGTGAAAAACTGCGCCTCGACTTGAGCGAACCACACGTCAGGCGCCTCTGCCCAAAACGGCGGAAGTTTGACGGTGACGCGACAAACGTCCGTGTTGGTGACGGCCGCAGCAATGGAGGTGCCTGAGGTGGCAGGGACCACTGAAGCAAAGTTTTGGGGGGCGTGACCCAAGTGGGGTGGTGCACGGTCGTCGGACGAGAGTGCTTCATTTTCATTGCGCTGCTGCTGTTCCCGGAGCTGCTGCTTTTGGTTCTGGATTACTTGCTGCTGGGCCTGCAGTTGTTGTTGCCGTTGTTGTACTTGTTGAAGGGCAGTAAGGGTTTCCTCGTCGGCCATGGCGGTGCGGTACGTTCGTTTTCCGGGTCACCAGATGTGGGATAACATAACTTTAATGTTTCCGCACTGAATGTTCTACAAGGACTGCCCCTGAATCGGGGCACACATACAGTTTTCTTACTTATTTCTGGCGAGAGTGTTTTTATCGCTAGTCTCCGTGTTTGGAGGCATCACCACGACGCGCAGGCGCAGAAGCGGCGCCGACCCGTTTCGCCACACACACACACACACACACACACACACACACACACACACACACATATATATATATATATATATATATATATATATATATATATATATGTGTGTGTGTGTGTGTGTGTGTGTGTGAATGTGTGTGAGTTAGCGTTATGCTTGCACCCTCTTTATAATATTTTACCAAATCTGAGTATCGCTTTCGGAATTTTTTAGCAAACTATGGTTCAGAAGAATGCTGAAGAATATAATGTGTACTGGTCTAAATAGTGTTTTGAGCTTGTAAGCCTGCCTTCTCGTTTCTAGAGTGTGAAAGTGCCTATCGAATGTAAGTGCTTCTAGAACAGCGCTGATGTCAGACATGTCATTTTGTTTTTATTAAGAAACTGCCACGTTTCCATTTTATTTTTTTGCTGCAGGTTAAATTGCTCCAGCCAAGTTATAGCCGCACCATTGAGCCTGAAATTCAAAGGCAGTAATCATCAATGGGCATTATACAAAACAGCGATTGTTTGTTGAAAGGCATCTATATCTTGCATGAACGTCTCTTCGAACTATATAGTACTGAGAAATTCATTGTCTCGTTTCATGAAATAGACTTGTTTTTCACGGAGTACAAAGAGATGCCTAAAATGTGTTACTTGTTTTTAGATATGTGGGGTTTAACGTCCCAAAACCACCATATGATTATGAGAGACGCCGTAGTGGAGGGCTCCGGAAATTTCGACCACCTGGGGTTCTTTAACGTGTACCCAAATCTGAGCACACGAGCCTACAACATTTCCGCCTCCATCGGAAATGCAGCCGCCGCAGCCGGGATTCGAACCCGCGACCTGCGGGTAAGCAGCCGAGTACCTTAGCCACTAGACCACCGCAGCGGGGCTACTTGTACCTTAGCCACTAGACCACCGCGGCGGGGCTACTTGTTTTTCATATATTTGTGTAGGGTTCCTATAAGGACTTGATTATATGTGAATAACATGCGGACTGCTTCAATTGGATGAATAAATGAAGCATTTTACACATGAGCATATACATGAAGATAGCATTCTTATACCACACCGGTGAGTGAAAACATGCTAATAAAAGTCACTTTTGGTAATAAATCATTCATAGTAAGGGTAACATTTTTTCTCCCTTTCTAATAGAAGAAGTGAAGCGTCTAAGTATTTACGTACACGTTGTTTTTCCTTATTTCTGTCCCCGAAGCGGCAATTTGTTTTTTGATAGCAGTACAGGCGAGATATTTTAGCTGGACCAGTTCAACGACCGGCCGTAAAAAAAAGCCAACTCGGGGCTCACATCGTCGCGGTAAACAGTAAAAGCTAAGACTCAGTGTGCGTAAGCTTTACCACAGTGCAAGCTCGTCTCACAAAAAAGAAATTTTTACGAGTGTGCTGCAAGTAAGAGGCAAATCTGCCTGTCCCTAGTAGTACTTCACAGTTACCACAGACAATTTTTTTTATTGATATTTGATCGTGAGCCTCAACTTTCTTTTTTTCGTGGCTTCAAGGGATTCGAGCAAGGACAGGCTTTACGAAGGTTCGACCAACCACAGTTTTTATCGTGAGACGGGGAAATCAAACCGTAGCATAGATTTCTTCTTGCCGATTCTGCTAGCTCGTTCGAAAAGGTTTTGCAGCCTACCGACTTCAAAGTTGAGGTTCTGCGTTACGCTCTCAGAGTTTCGCTTTTTCTGTTTCGGTGCCATGAAGGGCTGTCGTGTGATGGAGCAGTTTAGATCACGTGGTGTGAGCTACCGCCTCGGACTTCAACCCGTTCATCTAGATTGGTGAATTCGACAAACGTCACGGCGATCTTGACTTTGGTTACAGTGAATACAAACGAAACATCTCGACAGACATAACTGAGTGTCCACTTAAATCAGACAAATATTTTCAGAAAAATATTGTGAATTGTTTGCGTTAGTTGGTTTCTACGTGACCTCGAACCGCATAATAAACCTAAGCAAGCAAATAAGCCTCAGAAAAGCTAAGCACAGGATCGAGTTTTCTCCACTTTTGCTCACTCTGCACACAATTATAAGCTACTGCACAGAAAACGTGCGAGGTTTGCAGACACTTGAGAAAAAGTATTAACAACAACTGACACCAACTTATTTCCTCTTACCATTAAAGTTTTCTTCTATTGTGTGTTGATCCGGAGTGTAAACTGGTACACCAGAAGCACGCAACTATTAGTTGAGTGACTCTTCACATACCACGGGGAAGTGTTTGACGAAGTGGGAGACGGGATTGTGACATTTGTGTCTTGACCAGCGTGTCATAAGCGTCAAAGCAGCCTACCCTCCCATACTTAGTGTGGCACAATTTTCTCTTTGTTATTATAGCCACAACCTCATTTTGAATTCCACAAGTAACTTAACAAAGCCGTGAGGCAATGTTTTTTTTTATTGTTTAGTCTACTCTTCTTTTACTGTTAGACCAAGAAGAATATCTACATAGTGAATGGTATAGCGAACACGCGAATGCGGAATAAGTCGCTGTATCATTTTCCCAATAATTCCGCAAAAAGTAAACCAATAACGCGAAATAAACAGATGCAGTTTTATAGCCCCTTTTCGCATTGTGAGTCTTGCCCCTTCGCTCCTTAATGGACACGCAGCATGGAGGTTCCATCAAAATTGTTCCGGCGACTGAACAGAGAATCACAATAGGATTCGCATATCCTCGGCGTTAAAACTCAAAAGGTTTGTGTGCCACCAGAGAGCCCTGTTTTATTAAACGCATTCACGGAACACCTGTAGATGCAAATTGTAAACCTGCATTGTAAAGCCACAACTCATATTTTCTCCTTTCTCGGAGACGTTATGTACGCTTTTCTTTATAGGTACGGCATTTTATGGCTTTCTGTTTCATGCGTGCGCTCGTTCCCTTTTAGTTCGTTGATTCGGAGTCCTAATTAGGTTGGATAAGTAAGAAAACCGAGCAGCAGATTGCAAATCATTTGATTATTTATTCTTTTTATTCTTTTTTTGTTACACACTACTGCAGGTCATAACCCACCCAAGGATGATTCGAGAGTCAGGCAAAATAAACAAGAATAACAAATTTAACTAAGCGAGAAATCTCGATTGCAAATTCGGAACATAACTAGCAGTGAAACTGGAATTCACGGTTATACATATTCACGTATTAGGTATCAAACACAGCAAAATATTTCAAGCAAGTTTACTCAAACAACAACCGTGACAGCTCAGCTTGAATGTTCGGCTGTTAGTAAATTGTTTATTATGCGCATTCGAGCCTCAAATCGTTGGTGTATAAAATTTTGGGTTTTAAAGCGCGACTTTTCTGAATTTCAGCAATTTCGCTGTTTTGTGGTTCAAAAATAAAATGACGGCACCTTCATGCGGTTCAATTATTCCTACTAAAAGCATCTAAGCCTACGTCTGCTACCGCTTTTGTTCCAAGGAATCCTGAATATACGTTGAGAAACGTTTCACTGGGTATTCTTGGTCTATCTCCTGGTGATCAGTTTGCTAAACTACAACTCTTCCGTTCGTTATTGTTTTCAAAGCTCCTTTACATCCATTTTTCATTCATGAGTAGCGAAAGTACTGCTTGGTCTATGTGGATCTGTCCACAGCTAAGTGAATCTTCTCATACCACTGTGACAATGCATATCACGAAGGGCCTCAAATGCCTTTTGTCGCATTAGTCGGAACCAAACAGGCAAGGGCCTGTTTGGTTCCGACTAATGCGGCAGCTTTTGCTTGTCAGCTAATTTCGCCATATCCGATTGTCATTTCACGTAGCCATC